TATATACTTATATACGTATTAAATATTTTGTTCACTCCCAGAAATTTAAATAAATATTCGTTTTTCTTTAATAAATATTTTTAATAAATTAAAATAAATCAATTAAAATTCGTTTAAAAAAAATTGGTCGTGATTTCGGTTCAAGTTAAAGTCTTTTAAAGATTTAAAAATCCTCTATACGCGATTGGTTAATTCAAAAAACGTAACGATGCACGCGCTGGAGCTTATTGGACGAATTGTGAAAACTTTTATGAAATTGCTTCAACATGATTATTAATTTCGTTATTAAGTAAAAATGCTAAGAAATTGATTTTTTAAATATAAATGTATAATTAAAATTTTAAATGATTTAAATATAATCCAAAAATACCTAAAGAGATTATATATTAATATTGTATTTTTATTGTAGATAATATTAAATAAACAATTTTTAAAATATATATATTGATTTTTATTAGTTAAAATATTGATAAAAATAAATTAAATTGTAAAAACGGAAGCATTTATAATTAAGTTTTAATTACAGATAAATATTTAAAAAATTAATTATGTGAACGAATAACATTTTCAAGTGAGATAATTAGTATCATCAAGAAGATGCGAGTAATTGTACTATGTTAAATGAATTAAATTCGAATGAAAATTAAGTTTATTTAATTAAAAAAATATATTTTTCAAGAAATGTAAATGTATTATTACATGAAATAATTAAAAATATTCTTTAAACTATTTATAACAATTATTAAATTGTTTTATTATTTTAATGAATCTTTCAAAAGTAATCTGTGATACTGTAAACAAAATATATGTAATTAATTAATGTATAAAATATTCAAAACGAAAGCTTTTTTTTTTAAATTACTGTATAAAAAATTCATATTTACATTTTTAGTTTGTTGATAATTTAAGGAAATTTTTATATCAATTTCTAATTAATATACCTTTATACCTAATAATAATGTCATTATAATTAGGTATAGAGCCTACTCAAGATCTAAGGTAAAAAAGAGAGCGAGGAGATGAAAAAGATAAGAGAGGAGAGAAGATACTGTAGGTAGAAAGTATGAGAAATGAGCAATTATTTATTATGACATCGTCACAATGCCGGGCGCAATTTTTAATCATATTTTTAATTTATTTAATTTAAAATATATGCTCTCCACTTCAATTTATTAGTAGTGTCTTGCCCCTGTACACATACTTTTCCTTTAACAATAGAGTCGTGTCGGTCATCTATTAATTAACCGCTTTCGGGGGAAAAGTTTTGAATTGAAATAACGTAACTTTTGGTTAACAACGGAAGTTTGTATATACTGTAGTTAATAGGGGCATCCTATTCCTAAAGTTTCCATATCTGGTCTCAAATTTCATCTATCTAACTCCGTTCTCGAGATGAGATTAAGGAAAGACATCGGACGGACGACAGTAAGAATTTATAGGTCTACAGTTTTTTCAATTGCAGCCCCTGAATATAGCATATTTTTAATAGTATTATATATATAGTACATTAAAAAAATTCTGGAGCTTATCTCGAACCCTCTTTTCCTGAGATACTTTGTAACCCCAGATCCCCCGTAAGTCTATTCCATAATTTGCTAGAACCATATCCTACTATCAGTCTACTAGAGTAGGATATGGTTCTACTATAGTAAGTCTAGCTACTCCTTCGGGGAAGCAATAATAGAATATAGAAAACAATAAAGCCACTGACTTTCAGTAATAAAATAAAACTTACCTACAAGGAATGGTAATATCCAGCATTTTACAAAGACATAAGACTATTTTCTTCACATTTGTAGAACAATAACAATGAAATATAAAGGTATTCTATGTCTTCATTTCAGTCTGCTTAACCTTTTGAGAAATCTGGTCTTGCTTATTTCATCATTATTATTGAATCTGTTTCATGTTTTGATGTTATGTATAAGGCACGTATTTCAGTTGCAGGCCTTTCACAGGAGGCATTCATAGAAATCTCACAAAGTTTCCCTCACTCATTTTTGATGGTGTCCAGCCGCCTTTGAGTATGTCTCAGCTCTCTTTTGTGTATTTTAGCCGGACAAAAAATTTTGTATTAATTTTGAGATATTCTACGACTTTGTAATTTAAATTGTGCCACTATCATTCACAAGAGCCAACATAAGATTGGCTTTATGAGAAGGAAGCTGAGTGCATGGCGACTAACTCACCGAATTACCCATTCTTTTGTTCACTTGTATTTAGCTAATACGTAGCAGGGTCATGTCGAACACGTCCCTCACCACCCGGCAGCCCATTATGGGCCTGGCCGAACTCATGATGGCCCTGAAAAAACCATCTTATTGGACGCGACGAAAATAATTTATGAAAAATCAATCTGTTTAACGCGTAACGAAACTTTATTATCGAAAGTATAAAGCCAGCGAAATTATCAAGATATCTCGAAACTAAATATGATACGTAAAAATTGAAATTTTAAATATGTTATTCGGCCGGACGAGTCGACTGACATTTCGGGTTTTTTTTTTTTTTTTTTTTAAACTCTTCCACTCTGCGGGCACTAAGAGGAACTCATTTTGCAAATCCATTATGTATTTGGAGCGGTCGGGTGATGAAGGACGGGGCCCAATATATTTGAACGGACCACTCCCGAAAAATTCATGGAGATTTATCTACCCGTCCGGATTCGAACCCGGGTCCCCAGAGCGCCTTGACCGCCTCAGCAATTTGATTCATTTATGGCATTTTAATATTAATTTAATAATTTTATCCATATAAATATTTTTAAAGTAAGATAATTTTTACAATAATAGCAATAATTTAATATATATATATGTATTAAAAAAAAAAAAAACTAAACATTTTATCTGACAAAATTTCAAGGTGGCGCTAGGAGATTCTGAAAGAACGTCAGGAAGTTTGAATAATTAAGTTTTATTACATTTTTTCAGTGTGTATGGTTCGTATGGTTTTGTTTATTGTAAAAATAGGCTGAAGTGGGAATATAGCAATCGCTTCATTTGTATAAAACACTCGTTCTCTACCAAGAGATTATAAATCGTAGTTTTTTTCCATAAGTATCAAAAATTTCAAGTGTTTTATATTAAAAGATTACTTAAAATGAAGTGATATTTAAATGAAACATGAGTGATAGCCATCATTTAGGTCCCACTTCGTCTGTAGGAGAGATAGAACATATAGAATCTCTCTCTGATCAAATTGGATATCTTTGCTTAAGGGATGATTACAGTGATGTTACTTTGGTCGTTGAAGAGGCACACATTCCGGGACATAAGGTCATCCTTGCCTCTAGGAGCGAATATTTTAGGTAATTTCTTTAAAAAAACCACGTAAAATATTACATACATACTTAACATTTGAATATTATTGAAACATACATTATTGTTTTTTAATGTTTGAAGTTACTTTTGAATTTTTAATTGATTTAATCTAATCTTTTGCTACTACTATGGGCATGTTTGTTTTCCACAAATGACGAGTGTTGGATTTAATTTAGGAATTTGGCATAAGAAACGACGGCTCGAAACTAATTCCGCTGTCCTCTACTGGCACCTCTATTAATTAACCGGCCGTTCGGGTAGTAGAGTTTGTATTTTGTGGAAAATGAACGTACTCTGTGTGTGATAATTGGATTTCTTCGTTTTGTTCCTTTGTAGGAATCGAGTCGACGAATAAACAAGCTCGAACTTTATCTCGAGATGCGTTTTATTATCGGGACGATTGCGTTTGGAAATTCGATTGCCTTCGAGTTCTAATGCTCTTAATTTTAAAGGAAGTCAAGCTTGTTTATGTAGATTTATTGCTTGAAATTTAGCAGTAATTCGTAGATTTATTTGCTTGAGTTTTTTGGAGTTAACATTAGTAAATACATTATTGTAATGAACAGATTTTTCAGTATCTTCTTATATATAATTTTTTCAAAAATAAAGTAAATGGCAAAATTTTATAGAAGTCATTTAACTGTGTTATGTTTATATAATATGAAAAGTTATATTATAATAATATGCAAATATGTAAGCAAATGTTTTTAAAATGCATAAAGTTTTTAATAATTAAAATTTTGAAGTTCTAAAATATGTATAAATTAATCATTGTTTATTATTAACAATTATTAAAAAACATTATCATTATCATAAAAATCAGTAATTTCTTTTCGTTCTTTCTTCAAAGTGGCAAAGTGTAGAATCTATAAGAACATCCTAAAAAAATGACTAACAATATATTAAAAAGCATATATAAAGTAGGTTTCTTCTTAATATGTTTTGATACAGTTTGAGCAAATGCAATGAAACTCTTCAAGGATCATCCTCTTGTCCATGAAGAGGTCTACAACTACCATTGCTTGAATTAATGTCAATCCCCTGCATTTCACCTTTCTATCTGACAAATAGGATGATGATATTCTAAATATGAAAATTACTTAATACAAAGTTATCAGTGAGCATAAAATATGTTTATAGGATTTTCGAGGGAGTCAAGTTTAAATATTTGGTCCACTTTTCACAAAATTTGATTGGTTGGTCAGTTAGTTACCTGTAAATGGTAAGTTAGAGTTAATGTTAGAAAAAATTTGGATGTCTTAAATTAACTTCTCGTGCAGGTGGGGTTGTCAACTATTTTCTGTTGAAAAACATCGATTCCTATGTACCTGACCAATGAAATTGCACCCTTCCATATCATCTGATATCGCATTTTTAGCGAGCACAAAACATGTACTCTGATGTTTTCCACGATGCTGGGCACGAGTCTTTGATCTGTTCACCTTGAAATTTGATTTTTCATTTGTTTTTATATTTGATATATGAATTTAAATAAAATTGACTTGTTTTTTCTTTTTCAAAGTAGATTCTGTAATTTTTATTCTGTTTTGTTAGTTTTTTTTTATTATTATAATTTAATTCATAATAAACATGATAGTGGTAAGCTAAAATAACCAAACTCTTAATGTTTTTTGTTTTAATGTTGTTACTTTTTGCCCAGGCAGAACTAGGTATGTCTGCTAGTATAGAATAAAGCAGAAAAATTCATTTACTATAATAATTGAAAAATTTTTATATATTTAATATGTGTATATACTGTATGTACTATATATACACACATAGTATATTGTGGTATGTATGTTTAATAATTTATTTACATATGAATTTGTTACATCATATAAATTATGTATGTACAAATATATATTTAAAAACTTTTTAATACTTGCAATAATGTTTTATTTGTTTTTTAAGCATGTTTACATTTTTGTAATCATTTTTTTTTACTACAAATTGAAATTTTTCTATTTTTTAAAGCCAGTAATTTGTGGTATAGCTTAGATATTTGTTATGTGTTTGTTTTATATATATATATATATATATATATTTATTTATTTATTTATTTCATTTGAATGTTTAAGTTATTAATGCAAGTTATTTTTAGACAAAAATGATAAGATATTTGAGTTTTTCTTTTAATTGGATTTTATTATCGTGTTCCACTTAGTATTATATTATACTATTACAAAGAATGAAGATAATGAGACAATAAACAGAATTGAAAAGTAGTGCTTTTTTTTAGGCTCTGTAATGCTTGCTTCTGTGGAGTTTGTTTACTTAGAGTTAATGAAGTTCAGGAAATGTGCATTTTTAAGATTTTGGATAAGGATCCAAGGAAGCAAAGCCAGTTTGATACCTTAATAACTAAGCTCCAGCTGTAGCGGAAGCTTAGCTATTAAGATACCTTTCCGTTGTGTAGACTAATCACCTATAGAAAATATACTTTATAGTTTCAGGTTCATTTAAACCACAATCATAAAAAACACTATGATTATGTTTGAATTTTTTCAGATAGGTGTTTGTTTTCCTGACTTTTGAGTAATTGACTTGTAGGGAAAGTGAGGTTTATAATAGGTGGGGAAAGAGCATTTATGACTGAGGCATAGGAGATTTTGGTGTTGGCACCATTATATGTATTCATCCAGAAACTCTCCCATTTGTCTAGGCATCACTCTTCGATATAGAGTTTCTGATTTGCTTTGGAAGAACTATATCTGCCTTAGCAGATGTAGTGCTTTCAGTGATGTGGTATCTGTAGATACTTTATAAATTTTATCAGCCAAATCATTACCTAGAATTCCTATAAGGGCTAAAACAAAAAGTTTTAATATTTTTTTTTTTAAGCATCATCTGTATCAGCAGTCTTTTTAGCATTCTTTTGAAGGAAGTTCTCTGTTGCTCTATAAGACTCTAGTATTATTTCCAAATATAGTCCATCATTTTGAGGTGCTTTCTTAGGGTGATTGGAGAAAATAGCCTCTCATATCTCAAGTGGAGATGGGGGAAAAGGGAGGTGTGTTTTAGTTTTGAGATCAACATAACATACTGTTGTTTTAGCATTTTATGTATGTTATCATCTTGCAAGGGTCTTCTTGAGGAAAGTATAAATTTGTAATTGCTTGTAAAATATGTTGCAGTGTTTGTTGAAGTTTGTGAGATAACTGATAGGTTATTATGGCCGATAATAGTGTAAACTGATTTCCATATATTTAAGCTACCTTTGCAATATTTTATGTAAGATAATTCTCTTTGGGCCAACATTTCCCTGATATATTGCTTTTTTGGGCAGCAATTTGAAAAAATTGTAGACCTCTAAATTCCCACTGTCATCTGTTTGTCTGTCTGTCTTTCTTTAATTTCAAGAACAGAATTAGATAAATGAAATCTGAGACCAGGTATGGAAAGCTTAGTTGTAGGAGGCCCCGATTAACTTTATATGAACTTTCAATGCAAACCAAAAAGTTATTTCAGTTCAAAAATTTCCTATGGAAGGAGTTAGATAGATGACTGGCATGACTCTGTTGCTAAGAGGAAAAGTACTATGTACAGGAGCAAGGCACTACTAATTTCAGGTGAAGAGCATATATTTTAAATTAAATAAATTTAAAAAATATGATTAAAAATTGCAGTCCAGCATTGTGACAATGTCACAATAAATAATTACTTGTTAAGCTTCTATATTCCTCTTCTCTTATTACCCTCAGCTCTGGGTAAAAATGAAGATGTCTTTGAAAATAGCATCCAAGTCTGTTAAATTGTTTTTTAGTGTTGTTAGCTTGTGTGTTTACCATGGAACTTTCTTCTTGCCTGGCATCTTCCCAGGTAGGGACAGGTTAGCATCTGCAGTACAGATATACCTCGACTTATGCCGTTTCGAGTTACGCCATTGAATTGAAAAATTCTTATTACAGATGATAATGGCAGCTAGAGAATTGAGAGAGGGCATAGAGAAGATTATATGTAGATGGATAATGTATTATTTTGTTTTTGAGAACATAAGGGTCTTGAATTAAGGCAATATCAACTTTATATTTGTTCTGATTAAGTTATTTGTAGCTGCTTTTGAGTGTTGCATTTATTTGTTTATTTATTTATGGCATTGCAACATTTGGGCGATCTGCCTAGGGGGATGCCTTTTGGGAGGTCTTTTTAAGGGTAACTGGCCCCTATTTGGGTGTTACAGACATGGAGAAAACCCATAAAACTCTACGCGGCCAGCCCGTCCTGGTGAGGTGCAAACCCACTACCGAACTCCCAGTGTTCAGGGAATGGAACCGCTTGGCCACTGGTGGGCCATTGAGTATTGCATATTAAACTATATGATAACAGTATAATTTATATTTATATAGTAGACTCACAATTATCTGTCATGGGATTATCTGGTCCTATGTTATCCAGTCACATCTGCCTATGTCATATGATTTTTTCTATAAACAGTACACTATTATTAAATAATAATAATGTGTAAAAATGCAATAGCAAACATTTTTATAAAACATACTGATATTCCACAAATAATACATTGAGGTACATGGAGGGGCGTCTTACTTGTTTATTTTTGTTAAAAATTTTGTATTAAAATATCATATGTACCATAAAAAATTATAGCTGAAAAATAAACTACTTAAGAGAGACACTGACATGTTTGACTGCACACAAAATGCCTTATCTTCAGTCTGTGTTATCTGGCCTTTTCTTTATTTGGCTTGGCTGGAATTAAGATGGATAATTATTACTCTACTGTGTAACATAATAGAATAATTGTATTCTCTTTTCTTCATTTGTGAATAATTAGGAAAGTTATAGATTAAGGTTTAGTACTTAAAAAAATATGAAAATTTAACATTTTCACAAAGTAATGAAGAGCAAAAAAGATAATTAAAAGAACTTTTATATTTATTTCATTTTTATGTCAATATAAACTGTAGAATTATTATCAGTTATTTGCAGATGTCCATTACTTGTTCAATTAATATAGAAAATATTTTAT